ACAAGCAACTTAGTACGGGTTTAGTGCAATGTCCGAGCACAGCCCGTGTCTGTCATCGGCGCTTGTGTTCTGCAGACCTTCGCATGTCTGAGGCAAGCAGCACTATCGCGACAACTGCTTGGTGGACGCGCTGCGTGCGCTTGGGTTTAAGGTGCCATACAGCCAAGACGGTCCGTTCTACGTGCTAAAAGATGGCAGAAAGATGCTGGCGCCGCTGGAGCAACTCGTAAACAACTTAAGACGAACGTTGATGCGGGAACCTGTAGCAATGGACATCAAAGATGTGCAGGTGTGTGCTTCTGACGCTTTACAAGTCATGTGCATGACTGAGGCACACCATCGGCCCTATGCCGGACCTGAACAACAACATTGTGCCCGGAAAGTACATTCTCTACCGAGCACAACATTTCGTCGGCATGCGTGTTCATTCTGACGGATCTTGTTCTGTCAGTTGCAGCCATCGAGCACATGAATCTGTCGTCGCCAGCCTCTGCGACCTGGATCTCACTCAATACGATCACATGTTCAAGATCACGCGTGTGTCCTGTGAAAACGAGACCACCCCGTTTGACTTGAATATTTCGCAGGAAACTGTGAACGGACTCACTGGAGGCGATGTTAGTGGTGGCAAACATGTAGCAGTCTCGGCGGTTGAGTTTCTTCACGCGCTAAGCAACCCGGAGCTGTGGCACGATGCTGCAGAAAACTTACTTTCTGAAGATGAAGATGAAGACCGTCGGCCTGTGCTCACCGACTCGATGTCCGACACTTCTAGCGAAGAAGGTTTCTGGGACGACAGACCTGACTGGTATGAGCGTGCCGTGGCCCTCCGTGAAGCCAGGCTGCTGGCCGAAGACTGTGTCGGAGGTTCGGATGAAGCCTTGGTGCAAACACATCCTTCAGCAAAAGAACTTTCGTCTGACATCTTGAGAATCATTCCAGGTTTTTTCGATGAGTACGATGAAATCCATAACCTGGCATGTTGCAGTCGGGAGCTGCGATCTGTCGTGCTCGACAAAAGCTACTGGCGGGGCACACACATAGATCTTGTTGGGTCCCCCCTCGCAAATGCTCCACAAGCAGTCAGCAACGCGGCCAAGCTCTTTCAGCAGGCCGCTTCTCTCACGATGGAGATTGGACAGCTGGCCTGTGTGCAAGATCTCCCACGCCAGGCCATCGTTCACTGGTATCCGCAGGAGCTCGACATCCCCGGGAACAACGTCCGCGGTTGGGCAAGCACTCATTCGCTCTTCGGGGCGGTAAGATTTTCGTTGACCGTGCCACGCACCGTGACCGCTATCTACATTGGTGCCAAGGCGACAGCAAACAAGCGAAGGTCTTACATGAAGATTGCCGCTCCTTACCACACTTCTTGTCAACTGTCTGTGGGATACAGCGGATCACCTCCGCATGAGTTTCCATCGAACATGGTCAACCGTTTGCTGGCTCCTCCGGGCGCCGCCAATGAGTTTATGTTCTTGTGGTCCAACAGTCGATTGCAGCTGTATTTGAACAGGCAAAAGATCGGCACAGCTCACCTTGTCGAAGGTTTTCCTGAGATGCCGGGAGCATTTTCTTCAGTGTTTGTTTGGGTGATCTCAAATTCAGTCGCCGCTGAGCAGCCTACCTTCAGTGCTCTGCTGTCACCCATTGATCCTTGCACTTTGGTGAGGCGGGCGGTAGAACTTAACCATTCGAAAGACGCTGTAGGTAGTCTGTCTTGTTCATGATTCTGTAACGCCCCTGCTCAGGTGCGACTGCTGTGGCCATCAGGAAGCACTGACAGCATCTCGCCGTTGCTGGGCAGTCTGCTACATGTGCTCTTGCTGGGTTTGCAAAACCCACGCAATGGAGACGCCTGGTGACTTGTGTCCGACTTGTCAAAATCTTCCACTAGGCGACTTCATTGGTGGGTCTTTCAACAGTGAAAAGCGCAAGGGCATGGGACGACATGCATCCAACACTGAGCATGGCCCAGTGGAGATACAGGGCGGTTCTTTGCCGCTAGAAGTGCTACTTGATCTTCCGGTACACTTCTTTTCTCCGGGGTATCTCCGGTCGCTCGCCCTCGTCTGCAAGACGGTTCTTCGCTCAGTCCGATGTGCAAACCGATGGAAGCATCGACATTTGTCTATCTGCGGCGAAGAGTTCATGAATGAGGATATTCTGCATCGCGTGCAACGTTTCCACACACTGGCCGATGTCCTACACATGCAAATTCTCCACGCGGCGCTATTCCGCTCCTTGCCAACCAATGCGTTGCTGGTATGGGAAGTTCAAGCGACGACCCGATTATTTCGCGAGAACGTGGAGGTTGCAGAGTTCCGCTCGACGTGCCCATTGCTAGGGGTTGCGTCGTTCGATCTTTATATTCCAAAAGATTCTACGTGCCTGTATTTTGCAGTCCGAGAATGGCACGGCGATACGAGCTCATATTGTCGCATCCTCAGGCCCTTCGACCAGGTTCCACTGGGTCATATAGGCTTCAACACCTCTCTTCGTCTTCCTCCGCATCCAGGTAGAGCGCAGTACGGACTGGTGCCTGACTCTTTCAATCGCATCGATTTGAAATGGAACGAGAACTGCTACGTGGTGAATGTGAATGGCGTCGCCTGTTACACTGCAAGTGTTGCAAATCTTTTCGCCCGAGTGACTCCTTCCCTGGCGCAGCTTCGTGTTGAAGTCTACCGTTCAAGAACCGAAGGTGTCAGTCGGTCTGTTTTGAAAGCACTACCCAGCGTGATGCAAGTGAAGACCGAAATCAAATGTGAAATCTGTGAGCAGGGATATCCGTTGGGTCAGCCGAGATGGTCCGTGTGTCCAACCTGCTGCACATGGGTGTGCCGGAATCATGTGCGGAGATCACCTTTGCGTGTTTGCAATAACTGTCCTGGATACTTGGCTGACTATCTGGGAGGAAGCTCATCTTCCGCCAACACCGTGCTCACACAGGAGTCAGTGGCTGTTACGGCAGCTCAAAGGAAGCGGCTTGTCGAGTCCAGGCTAGAAGCGTGCAAGCGAAAAGCAAGTCAATTGGCTTTGCTGGATGGCTTCATGCCCAGACTCCGACAGCCAGACTCGTTGACTTTTACGACTGCACCAATGGCTTTCAACCCGGAGACTGCGCCGGACGTGGATGTGCTGAAGCTCTCGCACGCACACCCGAGGGACTTCAGAATTCGGTTTCAGGCGTCAGATCACACCTACTACATCGATGGGGTGCAGACAAAGGGCTCTGTCACCGGAATGATTCACGCCTTTTCTCAACCGTTCGATGCGGATGCGGTTATCACCAAGATGATGAGCGGCAGGAATTGGCCTCGGGCAGGTTATCTCAAAGGTGAGGTTTCGTTGACGTGGATGAGCCGGCTTAGTGTTTACTGTCCAGAAATTTTGCACTTGTATGCCGGCAGCCCGAGAGATGATGTTCGCATTAGCAAGGCTCTCCGAGAGATCGCCAGCTACCATGACATCGAAGACGAACTTGCGCAGCTGACGTTGCCTCGTGATGCCATCAAAACCATGTGGAACATTGCTGGGCGAGAGGCAGCACACCAGGGCACTCACATGCACTATCTCTTCGAAGCCCTCCTCAACGGTCACTCGGTGCCTGCCGTCTCCCCAGAGGTTCGGATGCTGCAAGCCTTCTTACACAACGCTGCAGCAAATTCAAAAGCCTGGCGGACTGAGTGGACCATCTTCGGCGACGTTGAGAGAATTGCTGGCTCCATCGATTTTTGTATGCAGCTACCTGATGGAAGTATGATGCTGGTCGACTGGAAACGTACCTCTGGTTTGCCCGGCAAGTACCACTCATACCAGGCCATGCGATCACCGATCTCTCACATCGCAGACTGTGCAGGGATGCACTACAGACTACAGTTGAACGTTTACCGACATCTGTTGGAGAAGTATTACAACCTGAGAGTTTCACGCATGATGGTAGTTTGCTGTCACCCTGAACACTATCCGAAGGCCTTTGTAGACGATGTCCCCAGACTTGAGAAAGAAACCGAGGACCTGCTGCATGCTTGGTGTGACGTTAGCGGAGGTAGCGATGCGCAACTCCCAAACACTCTGGCCAAGGCTATACGAGAATATGTGTTCTTTGACAGAGTCAGGCTGCTGAAGCACTGGGCCCTACAGAATATACATGAAGTCACTGCATTCCCTCGCCTTTGGACGTTGTTTCCGTCGCCCTTTTCTTCGCCTGACAACGACCACCATTGGCATTTCTGGTTGAGTTCCGCGTTGCAGCGCTGTCGCACAGCCAGCCAGGTGATGCCGCGTGACATCCTCTTGTTGCGGCGAAAAGGATGCACCACCGCTGATTTGGACCGCTGCTCGAAGCGGCTCTTCGCCCAGATTGTTCTCCTGCTAAAGTTGATCCCGCATGCAGACGTTGTGGACTTCTCTCTTTGGCCGTCTCCTTTTGACGCTAGCATCAGCAAGAGATGCTGGGAGAGATGGTGTCGTGACATGCGGAGTGCTATCAGGATCGTGAACGGCGAAGCTGACGTGGTGAAGAACAGCTGTCTGGAAACTGTCTCCAGCAATCGATGCGCGGATGTTGAAGGAGGATCTATTTCCGAGTCAGACGTGAAAGATCGCCAAGAGCACCGTCTCAGAGTTGTTGCTGGTGTGATCTATGAAAATATAGATTTCTTTCAGGATTATCCCGCCGCCATGTATCTCATTCCGGACCCTGACAGTGTCGCCTATCACAGCAGAAGGCAATGGGAAAAAGCAATGTCCGAAACCAGAAAATTGATCAGACTTCTCAAGACAGAGTACCTTCAAAAAACATACATTCTCTACATGTACGTCCACACATTACTGCGAAGCAGGAAAGCAGCGCAGGCACTCCTGGTTTCGGACGTGGAGCATCCCTCACAAACAGAGCAGTCCCAGCGTGAGTGGGTGCACGGTCTCATCGCTTTTCTCATCGAGCACGTCTTTCCGATCGGACGACATGGCAAGCGTGATATGATAAAGAAGTTCCAGGGTGATGATGCATTTGGACATGTTTCTTCCAAGTCGCAAGCGACTGAAGCGGTTGAGTTGGGTGTTGTGGATGTATGTGGGGGTGCCTCACAAGCAAGTCTCATGCCAGCAGTCGGTAGTCGTCCGGACGAGGAGGATGCGATGGACATCGCGGAATCAGCTCCTGAGCAAGATGATGCTTCCTCAGCAGAAGACCCTGAGCCGAGAATCACACAGGACCTGGAAGAAATGCTGCAGATTCAGGAAACAGAAGACAAACAAGCGGCTGATGCGCTGGGATTTGCGCGCAAAAGGAGATTGTTGCCAGGAGCCGATACCACAGCATCACAGTTTGCAGCCGCCTTTGCTGCCATGCGTGATTGTGCTGACAACTCCTTCGCGAACGTCCAGCGCATGCACCTGGCGCATGAGCTTAGTATACCGGAGCAAGTCAGGCGACTGCGCAACCAGATTCTGCAGCAGTTTCCAGAGCTGAACGAGCAGGTCCTGCGCGTGGCCATTGGCGCTTTGTCTGTGTATCGTCTCAGGCTCACGGACATGCACGTCAGGGAAATGGTGTTGCTGCTGTGGGTCGTGGAAGGAGACACTCACATGCGGTGTCACAACGGAAATTTGTATTTTTTCCACTCGGGCGCCTTTGCGATCCATCGCGGCATTCCACCGCAGGGCACACTGGCAAGATGCAAAAGATTCTTTCTGCATCTGGAAGGCTTCTTTCGCCTGATGGCAAATGCACAGCTGATGACTGACGACAATGTTCTGGGCCAGATGCAACGCTTGCTTTCGGACAACAACGACTCGGCGCAGCAGTTTTTGAATAGCTGCGAAGATGCGGCACGTGGACATGTGCCCGCGCGTGGTGCTGTTCGGAGAGGCCGGTCTGTTATGGCCGATGCCTTAAATCCCGGCGAGCC